TGTGCAGCATATTTTATTTTCTCATAACAATTTCTGTTTGCTTAACAGTTCTTAATTAGGTCAGAGGGCCAATGTATTTTTCTCTTTACAGTAGTATTTATTGCATATTTGTGATATTCAATTAGGTATGAGAAATATGAAACCTGATAAAGCATTTGTGTGCTAGAGGAAGGAAGCTATTCAGTTTTTACAGACAGTTAGTATTCCATGTCCTCCATGTTGTGCCACAACTCTTAACAGCCTCATCACATCCCATCAGTCAATAAGATGTCTTATTCAGTACTTCTTAATGGTATGAATTTATACAGATTCACAGAAGTTTAGGGCTGGAAGGGTCCAGCCCCGTTGCTCTGGGCAGAAAAGACTGCTGGGGTCGAATAACCCCAGCAAGGTGTGCGTCCAGTCTCCTTTTGAAGATCTCCAGGGCAGGTGCCTGCAGCACCCCCACTAGGAGTCTATTCCAGAGTCTGGTCACATGACCATCACTCATCGTATGTAACATCTTTTTGGTTATTACCACTACAGTCAGTCCTCAGACTTATGACACAATTGGTTCCTGAAAACCATGTCTTAAGTCGAAACATCGCAACTTGGAACCAATTTTCCCATAGGAACAGTGTTACAAATGGGGGATTGGTTCCTTTATGGTGGCCGATACTGCATGCAGCTGATAAGTGGTGGAAGGGGAGGAGGAAGGAAAGGAGCTTGGGGTGGCAGATCAACACCCCCAATGGTGAGGGTGGGGCTGGGGCAAGTGCTGCCCAGCCAGGGCCAGGTGGGTGTGGGGAGAGAGGGGATGGTGGCTTCCACTCCTGCATGTTGCTTGTCTGGTGGCTTGACAAGTGGTTTCTGCTGTGGGGTGGGCAGGGCCACAGCTGCACCGGGCTGTGCTCCAGGCAGGTAGTGGGGCCTATGGCAAGTTTTTGGGTGGCTGAAGCCCTCCCCTTAACTCCCAGTCCACTGCCTGCCACACCCCGACCCAGGGGCACATGCCCCTCCATGCCCTCAAAGCCATAGCTCGTCCAGGAAGCACAGGAAGTTATGGGGCAGCTCCCGCTGCTGTGCACTGCTTGTCTGGAAGCAGTGCAGCAGCTCTGCCCTGTGCCCATCCCACCCTGGCTGGGTGAGTGGCAGGAGGGCATGGGGTAGGGGCATGTGTCCCCAGATCAGGGCGGGGCAGCTGCAGCCACCCAAAAATTTGCTGTAGCCCCCACCACCCGCCCAGAGCACAGCCTGGGGCGGCCCCAGACCCAGCTTCCCCACTCCGTGCAGATCCAGGAGCACATGCTGCCCCCCACATCTCCTCCTGGACTAGCGGCAGGAACTACTGGTTGAGCTGCCAAATGAGCAGCATGCAGCGGCAGGAGCCACTGCCCCCCATGCCCACCGGCCCTGGCTGGGCAACGCTTGCCCCAGCCCTAGTCCCTCCCTCACCATGGGGGGTGGGGAGCTCCCCCCATACCCCTTGCCTTCCCCCTCCCCTTCCACTACTTACCAGCTGCACACAGTATTGACTGTCATAAAGACGAAACCCTTGTTGGAATGTCGAAATGGGGTATCTATAAATGGTGTAAGTGACGTTCGTCACAACTTAAAGTCGTAAGTCTAGGACTGCTCGTATATGTAACCACTTCTAATTTCAAATCTGCCTGGTTGAGCCCACAACCAGGACTCTACAGAAGAGCTCACAACCCTTTAATGCAGAGGTGCTCAACCTTTGGTCCACAGGCCAAATCAGTCCACAGAGCCAAGACATCTGGCCCATGGGGCTCCAGGCCTCAGGGAGCAGTGGAAACTCCACACAGCAGGATCCAGCCTTAAGATCAGGGTCAGGACCCACTCCTGTGCATCTAGATCAGGCTGGGCTGCATCCCTTTCCCCCCCTTCCCCCCATCCTGATTGGGGCTGCTCCACTCTGCTGTGCCACGTGTCCAGATCAGGTATGGGCTCCTTCCCTCCCCTCCCCACTGATGCGCCTGGACTGGGGCCACTCCATCTCCACTCTCCTTCCCCCTCCTCCCATCTGGATTGGGGCTGCCCTGTCCTGTGCATCCAGATCAGGGTTGTTCCATCCCAGCTCACCTCCCCTGTCTTTCCCCCCCCACCCCCTACCCCATGCCTGGATCAGGACTGTCCTGGACCAGAACCAGGCTGCTTTCCACCCTTAGCAGCCCTGATCCAAATGCATGTGGGGTTCTGCCCTAGCCCCACCCTGGGCAGATGGATCAAGATCAGGTTGCACAACCCCCTGTAGCCAGATCAGGTTCATTGGCTGGATCCAGCCCACGGAGGGACCTGGCACCGCTCATCCAGCCTGTAGGGCAAAAAGGTTGGGCACCACTACTTTAGTACAGTGGTGTTCAACCTTCCAGCATTGTGGGCTGGACGAGTGGCCTGGGGCCAGTCTCCAGACTTTTATCTCATGGGGGGGGAAATCAGTAAATAGACCTGATTCAGTGTGGAGTTGGTGTGTTGGATCTGGCTGCAGAGAGGCCACATGCACCACTTTAGCTCAGTGCACTGGATCTAGTTGCAGAGAAGCCTGGCTCTGTGTGCTAGACCCAGCCATGTCCTGACCCTGCATGTTGGTGCAGTCTGATACATGGGACAGTATCATCCCACCCATGGGGCTCCCCACAAATCCACTAACTTGGTGGTAGGGGAGAGGTAGCAATGTTATTTGCTGCAGCTGTGAAAGCTGTGGCAATTAATGCTGCTAGGCATTAACTGCCACAGATCTGCGCCCTGCCCAGACGGGATCCACTGGATGAACAGGCGAGCCCTGGACCAGTGGCTCCTGGATGAGCGGTGTGCGGCGGCAAGAGCTGCCCCCCACTCCCCATGGCTCTGTCCTGCAGTGCTCACCCCAGCCCCAGCCCCAGCCCCACTCCTCCCTCACCACCAGGGCCTTGATCTGCCCCTTCTCCCGTTCCACCACACAAGACTTACCAGCTGCTTGCGGCTCTCCAAGCTACTGGGCTGTGCTCCTTGCTGCCTATATGCTGCACTGCAGCTGCGTGTATGCACAGGTATTTATAGGCCAAATTATTGGCCACATCAGGCCGATTTCCAATATGATCAATTTTCTTTTATATCGGTGCCGATCCGATATTGGACCAGTGTATTGGTGCACCTCTACTTACCATTTATCCTTTAGCTTGTGGGGTGTGCAGTCTGGCAGGGAAGGGAGTGGGAAAGAGAAGCTGGGGTGTCCCAGCAGGGATCAGGAGGCAGAGG